TGATCTGTCTTGCACCAGTTAAAAGAATTGCTCATAAAAGTCTTCTCCCCTATCGGCTTGGAAACATTCTAATAAATAATCATTAAATTCTTTTCAGCTCCGTAGGGGTCTCCTTTGGTCCCTCCACTGGTACTCTGAGAGCGCATTCCCCTCCAAGCATAAGCCTACTGCTGTCAACTTCTCCTCCTCCGTCAACCCATTGATGACAAAGTACATTTCCACCTTATAGATCCACCCATAGCATCCTCCCCTTCGAAAATGTGTATCTTCAGTTTCCTTACCTTATGATCTCCCCCATTTCCTCTTACTCCATAGTTTCCCCTTTTCTAAGTGCTTGGCCCTCCCCAAGTCTTATAATCTTCCCTTGCCCTTTTATACCCAAAACCTCCTTCGAATTCCCCTCTCTGTTCTTCAAAATTAGCACCTCGACGAGCATAATATCCCTCCCTGCGTTCCCATTCAACACCCTTTGCTCCTACCCCCCATACCCAAGCCTTTCCCCATACCTCCCTCCTCTATCCTCTCTCTGGAAAGGCTCAATATGGGGTCTTCTCCTTTCTCCCTCTTCGATCTCCACCTCATCTTCATCCTTACAAATTTCAGGATTCGTATTCTTTCCTTCTGGCCCTTGCACCTCTGAAGTCGTTATTTGGTTGTGGAATTCTAACATCTTCTTCATCATGTCTTGTAAGTCTGTCACTTGCCCTTCCATGGAGGAAATTCTATCCCCCAGCGTGGTCTTAATTTAGTTCATCTCCTCTTCAACTTAATTTAGTTCATCTCCTCTTCAAGTCGTTCCTCCAATGTGTCTACCTTGGTCGCCATAAAAAAAAAAATTTATGGATATTTGGTACCATGAGAGCGCCTTCCCCTTTAAGCATAAGCCTACTGCTATCAACTTCTCCTCCTCCGTCTACCCATTGACGGCAAAGTACATTTCTACCTTATAGAACCACCCATATGCATCATCCCCTTCGAAAATGTGCATCTTCAGCTTCCTTACCTTATGATCCCCCCCGTTTCCCCTTACTCCATAGTTTCCCTTTTTCCAAGTGCTTGGCCCTCCCCAAGTCTTATAATCTTCTCTTACCCTTTCATACCCAAAACCTCCTTCGAATTCCCCTCTCTGTTCTTCAAAATTAGCACCTCGGCGGGCATAATATCCCTCCCTGTGTTCCCATTCAACACCCTTTGCTCCTACCCCCCCATACCCAAGCCTTTCCCCATACCTCCCTCCTCTATCCTCTCTCTGGAAAGGCTCCATATGGGGTCTTCTCCTTTCTCCCTCTTCGATCCCCACCTCATCTTCATCCTTACAAATTTCAGAATTCGTATTCTTTCCTTCTGGCCCTTGCACCTCTGAAGTCGTTGTTTGGTTGTGGAATTCTAACATCTTCTTCATTATGTCTCGTAAGTCTGCCACTTGCCCTTCCATGGAGGAAATTCTATCCCCCACCGTCATCTTAATTTAGTTCATCTCCTCTTCAAGTCGTTCCTCCAATGCGTCTACCTTAGTCGCCATAAAAAAAATTTATGGATATTTATTCAAAATTCCACAAGAACCCATTTTCCGATCACAAAAACCACTGCTGAAATTTCAAAAAATCAGCCCACGATAGTCCCAAAATCTTCTCTGATACCAATTTGATAGGAAACACTTGACATCTCAAGAATTTCTTACCAATCTTTGGAAAATAGCAAAAATTCTCCGCAAGAACCACAAAAACAATAGATAATTTATATTATTTGATGAAGTAGAAACAGAAAATATCGAGATACAATTGATCCTCTATTTGAGAGGAGGATCTATCTCTCCCAAATCTCTAGACGCCTCTAGAGCCTGAAAGAAATCTAAGAGATCTCAAATTTCAGCCAAATTCAAGATGCTCTAACCCTAGGAAAATAAACTATTTAATGCATACAATTCAAAAGGAAATCTCTAAACAGTCCCTACATTCAAATTTCCCTCCCAAATTTCTCAAAAAACTTTTCTAAACAGCTCCATTTGGGTGTTCGGATCGCGCAACATCTGTAGGAGGCGGAGATTCCGCCTTTGTTTTGCAAGCCGGGCCGGTCTAACATAAAAGTCCTCAAGAATTGATTTGATGAGTACTAAGAAGAATAAATTTGTTGAAAGCATGCTTAAGGATATTACATATATGTATTATGGCACAATGTTAAGTATTAGCAAATATTGCGGGGTGACCAAATGATTTTTATTTTAATAGTGTTTTTTCAAAAAAATATATACTTATCCCTTATCGAGATTGTTGTGGAATTCAAGATGAGGTATCTTGATGTATATGCATAAGCAGATTATAATTCTAATATGTTAGACTTCTTCTTAAGTAAATGAAAAGAATGAAATGTGGAGGGAATTCTTAGAAGACCATGGGCTTAGGATTATTAGAATGTAGCCTAGGCACATGATATATAATTTTATTGCAATTAAAATTGGAAATTATTAGTCGAAAATATTGAATACTTATAATAGATCCAAGCAGTTTGAATATATTATTTTGTAGAATGATGTGATAAATGAGAAAAAAAATTCAACAATAATTTAAGTTGGGTAAGTAAAATGGAAAATAACCTCATGAAGTACCATTCAAAATTAGAATATGATAAAGATAAATTTACTAGAATTATCTTAGACTGATAATATTTTTATGGATTATAGTATTAGGCAATAAAGATGCCATTGAAAATTATGTTGTTTGTTGTAAAAATTAGAATGTTAAGTTTGTATTCCCAATACATGAGTTTTCTCGATAATGTAGGGTCTAGGGATGGGCTTAATGCATACAACTTTTCCCTTTGAACTGAAAAGAGAAATGTTAAATTGATGTGTTAAAAAATTTCAAAACAAAGATAAATATGATGAATAATATAGAGATAAATATTTGTATTATTGGTGGAAATATCACTATTGAAGTGAAGAGAGTGGAAAGTAAACTTTGGTGATTTGTGTGTTGTAGAGGAGGCCGAAACATGCACCAATAAGATGGGAAGATAGAGTAAATGTTAAAAGAAAATAAAGGAGAAATGTTAAATAAAAGGTAACATAAAAGTAGGGGTGTCAATTCGGGTCGATGGGTCGGGTTCGGTTCAAACATGAGTTGGTCCGGTTCTAAACGGGTCAACTCGAACCCGACCCATTTTTGTAAACGGGTCGGCTATCTCAACCCGGACCCGACCCTTGCGGGTTGCCGGTTTGACACGACCCGACCCGGTTATCTTAACTCGAAGCGGCAACAGGTGCACAGCGGCAGGTTGCAGGCAGATCAGGCGGCACCGCGAGTAGTCGGCACTCGTCACGACTGAACCCGGCCCCGAAGCCTGAACCGAGGAACCTGACCGAAGAGAGGCGCAACGCGATTCGCGAATGTCAAAGCGCCAAAGCGGGTGCTGGCACGTGAGCGGCGAAGCCGAAGTGGGTTGGCACACGTCGCGATGCGATTCACGAACGGTGAAGCCACGCGACGCAACTTGACGCGTCGAGCAATGCTGGCAACCGGGCAGTGGACGCGGGCAGGGAGCATTTTCAGGTTCGCAGGTCAACTCAAACCCGACTCAATTTTTGAAACGGGTCGGTTTATTGAACCCGAACTCGACCCGTTTCACAAACGGGTTGACCCGAACCAAAGCTTAGGGGTAGTTTGGGTATTACTTAACTTCCAACAATTATATCTCCTAATTTAAGCGAGATTACATATAAGTCCTTTATACCAAATCGATCGAAATTTCGCGCTCTATTTTATAAAATTATTTGCGTCGAAATCCGGCAACTTCGAATTTTTCACTTAAAGTACGTCGCGGCGCTTTGAAAAGCGTGCGAAGTCTGAAATGGCTTTTTTTGCGGGTTTTACAATAAATCCATGTAAAGACGAAGTTGGTGCATCAGACGCCCTTTGGTGATTGGTATTAAAAAGATGCGTTGCTGCTATCTTACTTTACCTATTCTTAGTAGCCACTTTTCTTGTTTGTATAACTTTATATTTTCCTTTCTGTTTTAATATTTTTTCCCTAAGATTTTTACTTACTATCTAGACTAAAATATTTCTTTCTTCTTCTCATCTCTCCATTTCACCTCCTCACTTCTCATTTTCTCTCCTCATCTCCATCCACCAACATCATTTTTCCTTTGAGTTTCTGATTATTTCTTTTCATTTTTAATTCACGTTGAAGGTGTCAAAGCAGGTCGGATTCGAGTCCGACTTGAATCCAGTCAATCTGAACCCGACCCATTTAATAAATGGGTAAAAAAGATGGAGTCAAATCCAACCTGCTAGCAACTCGAACTTAACCTGATAATCTGTTTTAATATATATATTTTAGGTTAATTATTCAATAATAAGAATATTATATCAACAAATAAAAAAAATTAAGGAAAAAAATTTAAATGGGTTATTTCTGAGTCAAAATTGAGTTGGCGGGTTAACCTGAACATGAATTTTTTTTGTCGGGTCATTTATTGACACCCCTAATTCACGCAATGAGTGAGGAAACCATTTTTTAGCCATGCAGCCACATAAAGGTATTTTTAATTGCCTTCAACTGAGTCTTTTGCTATATTTGTTATTTATTTATTTTAAACTCTTCTCCAAACTTCAAATGGTAAATAGATCCTACTCCTTTTAACCAAATGGCCCCTTGAAAAAAAAAAGCCTCAAATGAAATGTTAAATGTAACCATGTAATGCTATGGTTCATCATATAAGAAATTGGATACTAGAAAAATTATAAGAATATACATTAAACTTGAACCCGTTAATTTATCAAATATTCGGAATGACCCACCAGGACTTGAATAACTGTCCACAAGTTCCTAGCCATTTCCTTTTGAACAATTAAAATCTAAGATTATATTTTCAAGAAATAAACTCACCGAAAGAATTATATTTGTAGAAAAGCGCCAATCAATTCATACATAAGAAATTGTTCTCCTCTAATAGATATGTATTTTCAGTCATTCCTTTACATCATTTCTGTGTGTAATAGGTAAAAATGATGGTTGTGCTCGGTGAACTTGGTGGGCGTGATGAATATTCCCTGGTGGAGGCCCTTAAAGAGGGTAAAATTCATAAACCAGTTGTTGCCTGGGTCAGTGGAACCTGTGCAAGGCTCTTCAAGTCAGAAGTGCAGTTTGGACACGCTGTCAGTATGAGTTAAACATATTGTTTGTTATTTCTTTCATTCTGAGGCAATCTCAAACTAACAGGTTCTTGTCAATGAACTAGGGTGCCAAGAGTGGTGGTGAATTGGAATCAGCGCAGGCAAAAAATCAGGCTCTGTTGGAAGCTGGAGCAGTTGTCCCAACTTCTTATGAAGCATTGGAGACTGCAATTAAAGAGACTTTTGATAAGCTTGTAAGTTTTCTGTTCTTTTTAATATACACTCTGCTTGCAAAAAGGCGATGCCATTTTGCACTTAAAATTATTATGTCTTAACCTTAAGAGATTCCACTTGCCTAAAAATAGTGTTAAAAGTTCAATTGTACAATTATGTACAAGAAATGCAATTTTTGGTGAAACTGGCCAAATTCGACAAATGAAAGTGAAGGATGTGATCATTAGGATACTTTTATAGCTTGTTTATTAATCTCTAAGCAACTATTTGACACTTTAAATTCCTTTTTAATTTGATTTCACCATATTCTCAACATCTAAAGTCTAGCTTATTGATTGACATTTTATTTACTGATATCATAGTAAGATATTTCAACCAAAACTGCCATACTATTGAACAAGCATTTAGCGGAAATGTTGACTTCATAATTATGGCATATATCAGGTTGAAGAAGGGAAGATCACCCCTGTATCCGAAGTTAAACCTCCAGAAATTCCAGAGGATCTTAGCTTTGCAATTAAAAGTGGGAAGGTCCGGGCCCCAACTCACATCATCTCTACTATCTCAGATGACAGAGGTTTGAAAAACTTCTCCATCTTCATTAACAGAGTTCCCAGTTTTTCGGCAAAGATTTAGTTGCAGTTTTGTTATCATAATCTCCAGGTGATGAACCATGTTATGCTGGCGTACCCATGTCTTCTATTATTGAGCGTGGTTTTAGTGTTGGTGATGTCATCTCTCTTTTATGGTTCAAACGGAGTCTTCCTCGCTATTGCACACAGTTCATAGAGGTGGGTAGGAATCATTTCTACCCCCAACTTATTTTTGTTGTTGTATTAGATCATAACACCTTGCTGAAAGGCTGGGCCTTTAATTCTATCCTGATTTGAAATAGCATTACTGCTATCATTCTGCTTAAATTAAGGGTTTGTTTGGAACGACTTTCTTACCGCTTCTTAAAGCAGCTTTCTATCTAAAAAGCTACTTTAAGAAGCAATAATAAAACCGTCCCAAATGAAGCCTAAGTATGATTGTACTATTTCGTGTATATGTAGCTTGGCTTCTGTCTGGCTAACTATGTCATTGCTTATCAGATATGCATTATGCTATGCGCTGACCATGGTCCCTGTGTCTCTGGTGCTCATAACACTATAGTCACAGCAAGGGCTGGGAAGGATCTCGTCTCGAGCCTTGTTTCTGGTAATTCTGACAATTATCTAGTAGTTTTTGTAGCAATGCTGTCTTTCCTAATATAATATCACCCACAAGAAGTTGGCATAAGAACATGGGGTGCATTTTAATTTGAGTTTCTGAAACAGGGCTTCTCACAATTGGTCCTAGATTTGGTGGTGCAATTGACGATGCTGCCCGATACTTCAAGGATGCTTATGATAGGGTAAGTTCACTTTTGGTTTGAATAGTTGGAGTTAATTCTCTTTGCAATGTATTGTCCAAAATTTCACTTCTTGAAGATAGTTAGAAGTTTTTTATTGACGGTTTCCAGGGTCTTAGTCCTTATGAATTTGTGGAGGGCATGAAGAAGCAGGGCATCAGGGTACCTGGAATTGGACACAGGTATATTCCTTCACTTCTGATCGTTTTGATTTTTTTCTTTTTTTAATGAGAATTGCTGAAATGGGGTAGGCTATTGCTTTTGAAGGTTTCCATCTCAGTTATTTTATTTTTTCGTGCTTTTAATGCTATCTTGTGGAATTAAAGAATTGGCCAACCTTGAGTTCGAAATAGTCATCATTAGCTATTTCCTAATTATTTGTGATTGGCTTGATGAATCTTTCTGCAATGTTCATTCCTTTGACTCTTGAATGTTGGCTGAGATATTATTTATAGTATTTATAAACCCTTTTTTTAGGCTTATTGGTAATGTTATGTTATTGTGTTGTTGTTTTGTATGAAATGAAATTATAGTCACTCTCATAAGGATGGATAAACAATTTTGTAAGTTTATTGCTTAACCTCAACTGAGAAGGCGCAAGAAGAGAATGCAGTTTCTTAGAAGTTCAAAGGAAGCTGGAAGTCTTTCTAGCAATTTTTTTCCATAAAAGAACAAAGAAAATACCTTTAAAATTGATTTTCTATCATGTAAAGAACTTTCTTTCCCTTAAGATTTTTTTTTTATTAAAATTCACAGAAATTATTCCCTTCATAATTCTAATGAATTTGGTGGGTTTTGTTACGTTATAACTAAAATAATTTTGAATTCAAGATTTATTCTAGAAATTTATTTAGCCACATGGCTAAATCATCAAGAAATGGAGCATGGTAACACATTTGTACATTCTCGTTTCTCATAATTTTTGTAGAGTTGACATTTATAATGTTGATCTTTTATATTCTTGTTGCACATGTGTCTAATTATTTACTTTGATCTAAGATGTCTACCGTAGATTAAAAAAATTAATGAAAAATTTTGTATTAGAATATTTTGAGCAAAAAGTGGTCAGGATGGGGGCTCAAAGCTCATAAATTTGCTTATTATGTATTATACTCATCTTAAAGCATATCCAATAACTTCGAGTCTTATTAAAATTTTGATCAGAATAACTTGACAGGACTTTTTCCAATGTTAATAATCTAATTTTAATATTCCATTTACAAATTTGTTGATTACATCCATTGAATTTTTGTAGGATTAAGAGTAGGGATAATAGAGACAAGAGAGTTCAGCTATTGCAGCAATATGCACACAACCATTTCCCTTCTGTGAAGTACATGGATTATGCTGTTCAAGTTGAGAACTATACATTGTCAAAGGCCAACAACTTGGTTTTGAATGTTGATGGTGCCATTGGATCCCTTTTCTTGGATCTTCTTTCAGGCAGTGGAATGTTCACCAAGCAGGAGATCGATGAGATTGTTGAGATTGGGTACCTGAATGGACTCTTTGTCCTTGCTCGCTCCATTGGCCTCATAGGGTAAGTACCTTAATAGTAGGGGTGTCAATTTCGGGTCACATATTGGATTCGGGTCGAACCCAAAACTAACCTGCATTATTCGGGTCAACCCGAACCCAACCTGTTTTTGCAAACGAGACAGTTTTCCGGACTCGAACTTGACCCACTTCAAGTCCGGGTCAAAAATGGGTTTTCAGGTCAAAACGGTTCAATTTCGTGTCAAAGGGTCAACCCAACCCGATTTTTGAAAAGGGTTGAATTGTTGAACCCAAACCGACCCGTTTCGGGTTCGGGTTGACCCTAACCCGGAATTTTCGAGTATGGTTGGAGTCGGGTTTTCGGGTTGTGTCAAATATGAACACCCCTACTTGATACCGAATTTATTAAAGCTCGGATAAATTTGGCCTATCTTTCTATCTTCCTATCTTTCAATTGCAGGCACACCTTTGATCAGAAGAGGTTGAAGCAGCCTCTTTACCGCCACCCATGGGAAGATGTTCTATACACAAAATGATCAGTTTCTACGGTATCCAGATCTGTTGTTTCGATTTTCATTTATTTATTTTGTCACCATTCGACCAGCAATTAATACTTGTAGGGGCTGTACTATGGTAAGCAAAGGTTGCAGCCTTATTTCAACTTCGAGTTCTAATAGCATTCCTTTGTGTACTTTGATGATTTGCGAGCCAGAATTAGTTCAAAATTTAGACCTTTGCACAAGTTTTGCTCCCTTCGATTTCTGTTCAAATCTGTGCTGGGAATGGAAACTATGTTTAGGATACCTTGTATTTGCCTTTTTTTGAATAAAATATCTGGTAGCTTTTGTTTTTGTTTTTGTTTTTTTTTTCTTTTTTCTAGGGTGTCTCTATTTTTCATGAAAATTATTTTTTGAAGTGGAGTATGAGGCTTCGTTTGGGACAGTTTATTGTATGCTTTTTAAATTAATTTTTTTATATAATTTTTTTTTGAATTACAAATTCTATACTACAAATTTGTTTTAAAAAAAATAATAATAATGTTGTCCCAAATAAAATCTAGGTCTTTTGTGTACCATTCATGATTAATGGTAGCCAAATTATTTGGATGATTGCCAACTTGCCAAGAAGCAGTTAAAAATAAAAAAATAAAGCAAGCAAATAGAAGATCTATTTTTGAACCTAAAAGAAGAATAAGTTTCTTAGCTTCAGATAACATTTCCCTCCATGGTTTTCAAAATTTTGCAAAAGTGATTTCTTGAAGTGATTATGATGGTGAATGTTAGAATAGAATGCTTTTAACATACAATTATGGAGAAATTTTTTACTCCTTGAACCCTATAACCAAGTAGGATGGCAAGAACAAAGAATCATGTGCCATGGAATATGAACATTTTAAAGTTTTCTTGTGTTCAAAATTATTGACACTGTTTGTTATGTTCATTATTTTAAAATAGCTCATAAGAGGGATTTATTATTTTTTGTGGAGTCCAGATGGCGTTAGGAGACCAATAAAAATGTATCACATTATCTCAAAAATGTACCACGCTCGATACCAAGCTTTGTATCTAAACGTAACTGGATAGAAGAACCATCCGGTGTCCGAACAAAATAATAGCTCCATATGAGGGCCACACGCCCCAGCCGATTCCATTAATCACAAAACAAATTTAGATTTGATTATGAACTGGCAAAAGTCATCAGAAGGATCAAAATAATAATAATGACAAGCATAAGAGTATAAAAAAATATTCAAATTATAAGAAAATATAAAAAGAGGGTTTATTAAAAAAAAATATTACTGTTTTTTAAAAGAATCTTTTAAAATTTATAACTAAAAATTATTTTAAGAAAAGTAAAAAAATCGTCTCAAACCAAGTCTAAATGAGAACAAGAATATATATAATCATTTAAAGGCAAAACCTAATAAAACATAGAAAAATCAAAAAGTTGTATAGTAATTTGAGACCACAATAGTAAAATATATATGTCATTTGTGTTTGATCATACTCAACTTGATAATTAATTTAAATTTAATTTATTTTACGAGCTCATTTACTTAACAAAAATTTATAAACATAGCCTCTTTGAACTTATTTGACTCTAATACTAAAAAATAAATATGACCAAAAAATAAATGTATGTGCGGCAACTTATATATTTTATAAATCATATAAGACATTCAATATATTACATTTACATTATATAATTTGTTCCTAAACTCATGTTCAACTCAATAAATAAATGAATTAAATGCAATAATAATTAAAAAAAACACTTTAGCTCATTTATTTAATAAATCGAATAGAACAAAAGTTAGCTAACTCAGGCATTGTTTGTTTACACTACTTAAGCTTAAAAAAAAAAAAAAAAAAATGTTTAGAACACAAGCTTCAATACCACAAAATCATTATTTCTCTATGAGAAATACAAATATGGATAAATCAATTAAACACAAATGCATCTCTAAATAGTGCAACATAGCACAAAAAGAAAAATCAGAACTATACATTAAATAACCATCACAATCAAAACACCATAGATTTGATTAAAAAAAAAGGTTTAAATTATGCTTCATTTGGAATAGGACAACTTTCTTACTGCTTTTTAAAGTATTTTTTTAGTAAAAAGATTTCAATTTATATACTAAAAAACGCTTTAAGAAGCAATAAAAAGTCGTCCCAAATGAAGCCTTACATGCAAACTTTTATTTGGTCCGGTGTAAGAATGCAGAGGAACATTCGGTCGTAGGCAAAATAAGTAATTGGAAAAGTCTCAAAACAATCTCTAAACTCTTAATGTGTGACTAGTTTAATCTTGAAGTATCACGCTTCTCTAATTTAGTCTCTCAACTATACATAATTGATCCAAAATAATCCCTCATATTGCAATTATAAAAAAGCCGAAACACATTAATAAAGTTGCCTCACACTCTAGTTTTAAAAACCACTAGCTCTTCAAAATAAAGAGCAATCACATAGAACATAAATTAATTCACAACAGTGAGAAAACTACCCGAAAAAGTTCAACAAAAAAGGACCAAGCCAGCTCTTTTAGAGAAAAGCATGCCAATATAAACAATTAATAACTTAAAATTTCTTGCACTGAGATATATTAAAAATTAATGTCTCATTTGGGACAACTTTCTTACTGCTTCTTAAAGCGACTTTCTAGCACAAATTTTAATTTTTGTACTAAAAAGTCACTTTAAGAAGTAGAAAAAACTGTCCCAAATGAAACCTAAGAACTTGCAAGTATGACAGAAACATCAACTGATCAGAAAAGCAAACAATCAGAGCCATATAATAGAACATACAATACAATCATCAATGCTTTCTTCTTTTAATTCTCACAAGGTTGCAGGGAACTGGAAATTCTGGAGAGATGACCTATCTAATGAGGCCTAACATTCCATGCATAACTTAAATAACCCAGAAAAATGAAACATTTTAGTGTCAATTAAACCATTTTGCATAGGTCAAAAGTATGATTTCCATATAAGAAAGCAACATTTTATTGTACATAGCTTCAGCCAAATACAGAGAGGTAAGGAAAAATACATACAGCTTCCAAAGGGAAGTTTTGCGACTTGAAAACCAATGTAACATAAGACACTAAGTATAAAGGGATGAAAATCCCTCATAAAATTTTGAACATGCAGAATAGATAAATAGATATTAAATGATGGCGAGCTGAAAATAAGCTTCCATGGCATAAAATTTTAAGAATGCAGAAGATTTGATTAAGACTCTAAATATGTACCAATCAATCGATCTTTCAAAAGCATTTCATACGGCTTTAGATGATTGGAAGCTTTCAATAACAAAAATAAAAACCACTAAACCAGTAGTTGAGGGTGTGTAGATGTATATTTTTGAGAATTGAGAATCAGAATTGATACACCACCAAAAATTGCCTTGATCGGGCATGAATCTCGAGACAGGTTTAAGTTAGAAACTTCCGAAATTAAATTTGAGATCATCCAAACTCTAATTTCAACAAGTTTAAAGTCAAATTGAACATCTCAAGGAGATGACCCCAACGACAACCAAATCGGTTCAATCCGAGCCCAAATGGATTCAAATAAAAGGACCAAAGCATATTTAGAAGGTTCAAAGCATTAATTAAATGATCAAATGAACTCTAAATATGGCATGCTTATAGTTAAATTGAGCGGCTTGATTCGGCAAATCCAACGAGCCCAAGATTGCTAAATTCTGACATCATTAAGGCACATAAATGCTTGAAAAATGCTGCATGACCGGGAATCAGTACAGGCCGTCCGATGGACCACTCCAAATCTGCCATGGACTTCTCTATATTTATGGGGAGTGCCACTCACAAAAAAATTATAAATAGACCCCCACTCTATATGAGTGGGACATTTGGCAGGAGATTAGAGTTCTGAAGCTTCAAGGATCTAGAGCGCCACCCAAGCACCACCGCAAGTGAACTTCTGTTAGCCGATATAACTACCACCCGATCACTCAATCACCATTGGACTTCCGCCCGACCACCGTTGGACCACTACCAGGATACCACCCAGTGCCGACCGCGGTCGAACCACCACCTGGCTGTCGTCAGCCGCCCGACCGCCAACAGTCATCGGACCATAGCCAAATGCCATCAGGCCAACACTCGGCCTCTGAACTTCCGCCCGTCCACTGTCAGACCAGTGATCGGTCGCTGACTGCCGCCAAATCACAAGCCAAATGTTGATTGCTGTCGGACCACCCCCTAGCCACCGACCGCCGTACAACTTCCACCCGTTGCTAACTATCGCCGGACTTCAGCCTGGCCACCAATCGCCGCTAGACTTCTGCCCGAACGCCGTCGAATTCCAACTCGACGGTCGTCGAACTTCCACCTAACTCTCCAAACTCTTGTAATTGCACTGCCTCTAAGTTAAGGGAAGGGTCAACCTTTGTAATTCACTCAAATTTAGTGGAATGTTTTTACCTAGGCGAAGCCCCTTGATTTTTCCCTTTTGGGGTTTCCACCTAAAAAATTTTCTACTGTTTTTCTGCTCACTCACTCTACCACCGCGAATATTCTAGCCCGCAACAAGAATATTAGCTCATGGATAAGCAAAGTGTCGTGTACCAAAATTTTATTGATAAATAAGCATAAAGGAAAGGCAAAAAAAATAAAAAATAAACCTGGATAATACAAGATCAACTTATTCATGAAAAATAATACTAGTAATACTACAATCTACAATCTTTTTGATGTGGCTGCAATTTTTCGTAAAGATGATTTTAAAGCTAATGTGGGGAAAATAATTTTTTTGAAAGTTGTTGCGAACAGCTTCCCAATACATAACTTTTTGGAAAATAATAGCCAAAAAAAATTTTGGTTGCGGTATGAAAAAGCAAAGTAGGAAGAAAATTGTCCCAAACAGATCCTTAAGGTATTGACTTTGAAAAGCATGTAGAGTTGGAGAACGCTAATCAATTGTTGATAGGAAAGCAAAGCATTTGGCTGGTGTAAAAATAATCAGGCAGCTCATTAGGAACCAAAATACAGTTCGACATAAATTGAACAAATGAAAAGCTTGGATGACACTCCAGCCCAAAAAATTGTGTTTTCTTTGTTCTTTTTCGCCTGCATCTTCTCCATCAATATTAAATTAGAAAGGTTGCAGGCCTCTTTCTCCGCTTCATTTACTGTCCTAAACATTATTTTCCATTCCCTTTCTTGTTTATGTCAAATCAAATTCTGCAACTGTCCTCCTGCTGAGATTCCCCTCCTTACTTTAAACTCATGTTAGTTTAGGCATTAAGATGGTGCCAGCCAACTAGGGTCCATAAAAATGAAAACATAAGAAAAAAAATAAATAAATAACCTTGAAAAACTCGTCAGTCAATACTAGATGACATTTCAATTAACATCCCCTTGCTTCAATTACCTTACATGATGGCAACCTATAGTCTGGATTGACACCTGGAGAGATAAAAACTATCAGAAATACTCAGTGGAAGGCATGAAATAATAAATATATAAGTTGTGAAATTTATGAGGAAGATGACATGATTCTTAGAACATGATATGTAAAAAATGAAAAGATTATAAATTACAGTCATCAGGATAAATATGACGCCAATATAATTATTTAATTTTTTTTTCTTTTTTGGGTACAACTTCCTTGCGAGGCCAAGATCCAGGACCTATCATGATATAGGACTACATGCACATGCGATGTTATTAAATTTGAAATTGCATGCTCATGAAAAGAGCAGTAACAATTAATCAATTTTACAAATATAAAACAAAAAATTGAAGCCAACAATATAGTGATTAAGCTCATGCAATCAATTATATGATAATATTAGGAGCACAAAATAATCAAATTAAATCAAACCCTATTGATGTGGGTCTTTCAAAGAAAAGCCCTCGGTTAATAATTAGAATAGTCACTATAAGCATCCACTCACACACGCTCATAATAAGGGCTAAGCAGATAAGACTTCATGATTTTAATGATACCACAATCGAAGAGGAATTAAAGATAAAAGGCTTAGGAGAAGAGTTCACCATCTCAAGCTTCTGGATTTGGCTCCAACATCCACCACATAGGTATTGTCATTGATTTTCTTGAATATTTTAAATGGCCTTGCGCTTTTAGCATGAAATTTCTTAACAGCCCCTTCTGAAAACCGTTGCGGATGAATCCAGACAATCACCAACCTCTAATGTCTTGAATCTTCGTTTAAGATCGGTGTGAATTTTATGTTTTGCATTGCTCTGTTCAATATGGCGTGCAATTTCTTTATGCAATTCATGCAAATGCGACGCAAATGAAGATGCAGACTCAGAAATCCTATACTTAGGAGACATGTATGAGATCAAGAGGTTGTCTAGGCCTATACCCATGTACAATCTCAGCGGGACTCAGACCAGTGGTGCAGTTCACATAATTATTATAAGAAAATTCAGCTGTGGGGAGTTTGGAATCCTAGTCTTTAACATGCTCAGGACCTCAATAAATTTCTTAGACTCCTATTGACCAATTCAGCTTGACCATTCGTTTGAGGATGAAAGGATGTGGAAAACTATAATTTGGTGCCCATTTTCATCCAGAGAGTCTTCCAAAAATAACTTGTGATTTTGACATTTATATCAAATACAATGGTCTTAGGTAAACCATGTAATCTGACGACCTCATTAAAGTACAACTTAGCAATCAGGGAGGCATCAAATGTCTTAGAACAGGGTAGGAAATGTGCCATCTTAGAGAAGCGGTCAATTACGACACATATGGCATCATTCCTTCGAGAAGTCATGGGCAGGCCAAGAATGAAGTCCATGCTGACATCCTGCCATTGACAACTGAGAACAGGTATAAGGGGTGTAGAGACCTGTGTTCCGCTTTCGTTGTTCGGCCAGTTGACAAGTGTGACACCTACTGACTATCTTATCCACATATTTCTTTAGGCTAGGCCAAAAGAAACGATACTCCACGGCCTCAATAGTCTTATCACGACCGAAGTGTCCTACGAGGCCTCCGGGATGAAGTTCCGAAACGAGGAATTCTCTAAGGGAAGTACTAGGAATACAAAGCTTTTGAGCTTTGAATAGGTATCCAACTTCAAGGAGAAAATCATCCACTAGGCACTCCCTGCATGTGGACAAAAGGGAGTAGACCTCCTTGAAGTCGGGGCATTCCAAGTAATCCTCTTTGACTTGCTCAAACCCAATGATTTCTCCCCTCATTTCAATGGTAGTCATCATACGACGATTGAGCACATCGGTAGCTTTATTCTCAACTCCTACTTTATGCCTAAGGGAGGAAGTGCACTCATGTAAAAACTCTAACCATTGACCATGGCGTGCGTTCAACTTCTTCTGGGAGTTGATATAACAAAGAGCCTCGTGATCCGAAAAGATGAAGAACTCCTGCGGGAGCTGTAGTGTCGCCAATATCGTAGAGATTGAATCACAGCATAGAACTCTTTGTCATACTTGGAATAGCGCTATCGAATATTATTCAGTTTCTCATTGAAACAGGCAATAGGGTGACTTTCCTGGGACATCCTCCTCTAATTCCGACCCCCGAAAATCACAGATAACTTCGAAAACCTTGGAGAAGTCAGGAAGTCTCATCATTGGGGCTTCCACCATTTTATTCTTTATCTCCTCAAAAGCTTAGGTGGCAGTCGGTGACAATCAATGATAGGAGATACAATGGTACTGAAGTTCTTAATGAATCTCCTATAAAAATTGGTTAAGCCATGGAAGCTACAAACTTCTCAGATGTTCGGAGGAACTGACCATTCAAGTATGGCTCTCACCTTCTCGGGATCTGCAAAGACCCCTTGGGCTAACAGAATAAAGTCCAGAAAAATCACATGATCAACAAGGAAGATGCATTTCTTAGAGTTGGCAAAAAGTTGCTCCTTAGGACCTCACAGACCTGCCTCAAGTGGTCTAAATATTGGCTCACAGAATGGCTATAGATAAGAATTTCATCGAAACAGACAACGATAAACTTACCCATAAAAAGGAGCAGCACTTGGGTCATGACTCTCATGAACGTACTCGAGGCATTACTCAAACCGAAAGGCATGACCATCCACTCGTATAGACCATCATTGGTCTTAAAGGGAGTCTTCCACTCATCACCGGGTCATATCCGGATATGGCGGTACCCACTCTTAAGGTCAATCTTAAAGAATAAAGTGGCACCTATCATCATATCAAGCATATCGTCTAACCTCGAAATGGAAAAATGATACTTAACCATGATTTTGTTGATTACACGACTATCAATACACATTCTCCAAAGACCATCCTTCGGTGTAAGAAGGGAGAGTACAACACAGGTCAATCTTAAAGAACGTTGTAGTAACTCATCCACGTGTTTCTTTAATTCATCATGTTCCGTAAGGTTCATGCGATACTGTGATAGGTTGGGAAGAGAGGCTCCGGAGACAAAGTCAATAGCATGCTGAATGTCTCTTAGTGGAGGTAGCTGGATCAGGAGGATCATCTAAGAAGACATCAACAAAATCGCTCAGTATGGGTTGTACCTCCTGAGGAATGGGCTCATCATACTCAGGGAAACTCTCACAGCTAACCAAAGCGTACAGGGGTGTGCCTTGTGCAATTTCAAAATCCAGGACCTTGGCTGTCACAAGGTTTTGCCCTTTCGCTGGGTTGCGTAGGTGGTAACTTGATCTTTTTGCCCGCATATTCAGACATGCAAGTGTTCGAACGACCATAGATGTGGACATCATAATCAAAAAGCCAAGGACGCCCTAGAATGATCTGTCCCACATCCATAATCAAAACATCACACCACACATTCTCCTTATAGTCAGCGAAGGAGATAGGTATGAGGCTACGTTCCATCATCTCTAAGGCAATGGAGTTGACCCAAGCTACCTTGTAGGGAGATTAGGGTGAGGAACGACAAACAAGCTAAGCCTAGACATCATGTTGGAGGAGACAACATTAATACAACTATCACTATCCACGATAACTTTACAGTTTTTATCATTTATTTTGGTGTAGGTGTGAAAGATCGAGGACCCACGCCAGTCATCAGTAGCAACAAGTTGTGACAATGCACATCTCACCACGTAGATGGGAGATGTATCTACCTTCTGTATACAGTGGATGACAATAGTATCGTCATCCTCCTCAAAGAATTCACATTCACTGTCAAACTAGTGAATTTGGTCAGCCTCAGGTTCACACTCATCCTCAGTGACTTCTTCAATAATCGCGATCTTATACAGACTAGAACACTGGGAAAAGTCATACCCCTGACATCGAGGTGTATCTGGGGTTGGAGGCTTACCCCTAAAGTCAGGATGGGGCAGAGGACCTGAGGGTGGTCGACTATTGCTCCTGTGGGTCGATCGTGAGGTAGGGTGGTGTGGGGCCGATCCACTGGAAGTTTTGTGAGGAGGTCTAGCATCCTAGTGTTGACTAGGGTGCTGGGAACGGGTCTCCTCAAGGTCTAAAGATTAGACTGTAAGCACTCTCTAAAGTAGTGATGCTCCGAGCAAACAACTGGTTGCGGAGATCCTCACGCAACCCGGTATGAAACATAGACAAAATTTGCGCAAGGGTAATCAAGGTCTCCCCCTTGCAGCGAATCATGTAATCGTCAAAAGCTGCAATATAGTCCTTTACGGGTTTGCTGCCCTGGGTTAGCCTATTCCACCTACCAAGGAGCCTAAGAAAGTACGAAGGAGGGAGGTATTTTTGTTTGAGTTTGTGCTTCAAAGAAGTCCAATCAGTGATAGAAAACTCATTGCGGGACTCCCTAAGACTCTCTAGGTTGGCCCTACCGGTGAGTTTCAACTCTACAAATCTAATCTTTCTAGCTTCATATATGTTATACCATTTGAAAAAACTATCCATGTCCTTGATCCAGTTCTAAAAGAGATGAGGATCAAGAGTACTGTCAAAAGTTGGAGCATCGACCATAATATTTTTCAACAGAGGTATATCGGGGTCGTTATTAAGGTCGTAACTGTACTGGGGAGCTCGATAAAGGGTATGGGGTGCTCCTCATCCGGTACGGTGTCATCCCCATACATGGAAGAAGGCCTAGAAGGTGTGTAAGGTGTGGTGTGATTCCTGACTCGATCGAGTGTATCAAATCGTTCCATCATTTGGCGACGGAGTTCAGTTATGTTGGCTTGATTTTCCCTAAGTTGTTAACTAATCGTGCTCATTGGTCTTACCAAAAGGTCCAAGGTCTTGTGCATTTGTTCAAAGTCCATCTTATGTCTAAGGGTGGCTCAGAATTATGCAAACAGGAAGAAAATAAAAATGATAACACAAGCAAGTAATTTTGATGTGTGCAAGATGCGATTTAGATGCTAAGACATGGAATAAATAAATCCTAATAGTCACCTAAATGCAACCATGCTCTAATACCAAAATGATATAGGACTACATACACATGTGATGTTATTAAATTTGAAATT